AAATTTCGAAAATTACAAAGAATGTATGTTTGGCTGGACGCTTTGGCTGGACACCATACATTTCTTTGTAATTTTGGCATGGTTTGAATGTCCATAACTTTATTGCTATAAGTTCAAACATCATGAAACTTAGTCAGTAAGCCTTTTATAAGGTGCTCTTTCACATTATGGGGTTATTTTTTCTTGAACCATTATTTAATTAGATTTGGAAGTTCGTACCCAGTCCCTTTTTCGTTTTGTTATCGGCCAATTTAAAAAACACCATCATATGGTAGCTTTCACTATAGAAGTAAGTTGAGACGGAGAAGAAAATGGCGAAGGAACCACAACTAAAGAGTTTCCATTTGTTGCTCTGCTTGTTCAACACACCTCTCTTTACACTTCCTTCTCCATTCTTTGATTTTTCCAGGCTCGTAAGTACCCTTGAAGTTCACATATTTACGAAATTTGCAGTAATGATATAACTGTTCTGTATTGTAATTGTTTTATATTGTTGAAATAGCTACTAAAACTATTCCCTGGTTCCAGATCCTTGGCTTGTATTTTGATTTCGAGCCGCAAAGCGTTGAGACTTTTATCTTAACAGATTTTTTTAGAAAATTGGACCAGCAGAAACGTATCGTTGCTCGAAAACAAATATAAGTAAAGGAATACAAGACAAGCCTCTGGAAAATGGAGGCACTTTAGAACACACGGAATTCAACACTAATATGGTCAAACAAAACATTACGAATTTATCGCCCATAATAGTCAGTGTTCTRATTTCTTTTTTKTGTTTGTATATAAAAAAATTCACCAATAAACTATTCAAATGCCTTACCTTTGTAAAGGTTGGCGACAAGAAAGATGAAAATGAAGATGATGGTTGTCCACCACTATATTCCGCAGCGATCAATCGTTGCACTTTACCTTGAAGCTAAAAACAAAATAAACACAATTGTATGCTCCAATCACACACTTTGCAAACTCGGAAAACCATCGACGGAAAAAGTAAAAAAATGACAACAACAGCAACAAACACAACACAACACAACACAACACAACACAACACAACACAACACAACACAACACAACACAACACAACACAACACAACACAACAAAACAAAAACACACAGTTACTTACTAACTAAAGAAAACATACAAACAATAAAATCTACACGCATACAGCAAGAGTGATTAGCCGTCAAACGTGAAAAGTTGGTAGAATGTTACTTGCTGACAAGAACAAAGATGAACCATGAATGTGAGTACTCCTTTTTCTGTTCATTAAACACAAGCACGTATTCAATATCTTGTTTGGACATTCATTTGCGCAACAAACAAGCATGTCCTACAATGCATTGCGTATATGGTATATGGTAAAAGCTTCAGAGGTCTATAGACAATGTGCGGCAGCGACGCCATCTTGTGCCACGAAGTAGTTCTCGCACTTTTTGCATATTCACTAAAACGTTCTACCTAAGTAGTTTTTGCTTTTATTAGTAAAAACAGAAGAATTCAAGCTGTTTGGACAGCATAAAAACAGCTTTTAATGATATTTTAGGGGTTATAAAACGTGCGAGGACTATAACTGCCATCATRCTTTGCTGTACACAATGGAGTCGCTCTACATTGTCTATTGAGTCTATATACCTCTTCCTTCTGTTTCTTGAGTTGCATCAGTTCAGCAGTATATTCAAGTAAATGGTTAGAAGGAGTCAGTTTAGTAACAGCGGGAATAGATCCTAAATCAATAAAAACAACTCATAAACAAAGCCTGCTTTTTCTTTTGCAATCCTAAACATTAAGATCATAGGAGAGTACCTGTAAGTAAAACTGCTATTCATCTTTTCGCTAATATATTACCTGGCTTTCTTTTTGAAATGTCTACAACGGCAGGAGTAGCGCTCATCAATTGTAGTTTCTATTAAAAATATACAGATGAATCATCAATGACAATGTCAACATAAGTCAACATCGGACCAACAGCTTCTTGGTCTCCACTGGAAGGGAACGTGGCAAGAAATCAGAGTCAGTAGAGGGGAACTACTAACTCTGAAGAAATGTACGGAAATGCCTCGAGAAGCAGTGTCGCATCCAGAACCGCGATACACAGTCAAATTAATAACTAAGACCACTAGGCAGTCAGTCTTGCTATGACAAAGGAACGTCAAGTTAAGTTGTTATACCTGGAGCAATGACGATGTCTCTTTAGATACCGATGCGAGCGTTGGRACGCTGTTGTCAGGATCTTCTGGCGTTTTAGTCGCGTCTTCAGTCTGACTTCGTTGTGTAAACGAAGGCGGTACATAAATCTCTGGGAGATCATTCAGTATTTTCTACAAATGTCAGGGGAGAAAGAACAAAATAAAAGACACTTGATATTAAGATAATGGAAACAACCCGGAATAATCTGTTTTAATCTACCTTATAATGTTGACTTTTTATACGAATGTTCTCAYTTTTTAGGTGTTTTAAGGCAATCTTCAGAGATTCCACCTGAAGGTAAATAAACAGAACTGTGATACAACTAACTGATAAAACGCCGTGTAGTGAAAAGCTGGTATCATCGAAGCTAGCGCCGAAGGGAATTTTAATACTCAGATTCGAATCATATTTTCCTAAACATGTTGCATTACTCGATAAGAAGGTCATTTCATTTAGTCCAGACAATCTTTTGGTACTGATATACTGTTAAACCCATAATGTTTTCTTGCCCATGCTTTCTTTCCGTATTAGYATCGATGTCGTAACCTTTTGGAAACCCGACTACATTTTTTTAATTTGGTGTATGCAATGTTTAATTAGTTGTAAAGTAAGTCAGAGTGAAGAAGATTGTTCTTGGGTGTTTCCCTTCTGTACTAGCTCACGTTCCTCGACCGATACCAGCTAGACGGTAATAAATGTTCATTATCACTAAACAATTCGGCAACACTCAACACTCTCTGAATACACCATTCTATAAGAGAAATTTTTGAAGCTGTCGAATAACCCAGTGACATATTCTCCATCATTTACGCTTGAGATTGTCAATCCATGTTTCCTATCATTCTATTTGAACTGAACATCTTAATCATCAAAACTCCACCTTATTCCTGTTTCATACCTGTGCCAATACGATGGGCGAGTCTTTGATAACTACTTGAACTGGCTGTTGGCCTGGCCCAACTAGTCCTCTTATTGGGCTTCCTGTACCACCTTTACCAGATGCAGCACCTAAGTATCAACACAATAATTTACTAATAAAATAATACAACTAATACGTTGAACACTAAACGCTGCAATACTGCATTACGTATTCCAGGACCGAAATGCATCCCTGCTACTGCATTTCACATAGGTGGCGTTATAATGCAATGACAATTCCTAACCAAGACCCTGCTTACATGGAGTCACTCTGATAGGAGGGTGGCTAATAAGAAGGGCGAACCTACTCTATTGCGGTCGTGGCTGCGATTACAYGTAAGGTAGTGTTACATGGTTATCCTTCTATAGGAGTGACAGTTTTTCACCATTTAAACACTCAAGTAGTATGACCCTAGGGAGGACTTCCTCAAATTTGTGATGTTATTAAGCTCTTATCTATTGCTTATAATAGACTACAGCACTGAAGAAGCTTTGTCAAGTATCATAACAAAGAAAAAAACAATGAATTTGCGGCCAAAAGAGAACGCTTTTTAGCCTGTGTACATCCGTTTACCCCGGAAAATGGATGTACACAGGCTAAACGCTCTGCCACTTCAMSAGGGTCGATATTTGTTTGCCAAGTTTGCATATAGAGAAGAAATATGTATTAACTGTTCTGGTAGRGTGACCCTCCTGACATTACCTGCAACCACTGCTGCAATACTGGATGATGATGAGGCATGTCGTGCAAGATCTGCCAATAACGTCTTCTTAGAGTAGGCATCCAGTCTTTTCTTCATGTCGCCCTTTTCTTTCTCTAAAGCATCAATGTCTCCTTGAAGTTGGTCCATAGTATCTTCAAACTCTCTGGAAGTGTAACATTCCAGTGARTTAGGCATAGGACAATGATCAACTTAATTCTAGCTTTTCCGAAATAAACTGCGTAACACGCAAAAGCCATTGTTTTCAGATCATTTGCATTTACCTAGAACTAGCATTGGGCACTAAAGCTTCCGCAAGCATGATTATAAAAAGAAATTTTGTCATTCTGAATTAACTTCGACGTTTGCCTTATGCCTAAGACTTTTTGACAAACTCCGAAAAATATATCCCAGTTTAGCAAGCTATAACAAATATTGTTCATTATTACAACAAGTCCAGGTSATATAACAACAGATAAAATCCCGAACCTTTCCTTTTTCCGTAGCTCTTCCTGCGCTTGCTCCACTTTACGGTTAGCACCCTCAACACGAACATCAGCCTGAAATCATACATTGATACCGCCATCATTATCAAACCAAGAAGAGTGAGAAAAAAATAAACAAACAAACAAAATTCTTGTACTTTGCTGAAACAATGTAAGTGACATATTTCACTATTTGCTTGTTAACTGACGATAGACTTTTTGTACGTCACATGCACTGAGGTGAACACATCCATACAGGAGTCAGCCGTTTTGCAAACTTCATCAAAGAGGGAAGTATAACCTTTCATGTCACAAATGATCACAAATGTATTGTCAGTAGTAGCCTGCGTTCAACCGAACCAACGGTTTCTTTGGTTCGGCTGAACGCGGGCTGCTATATAATTATAGCAAGTCAGGTAATATTTTGAACTTTGTGAGTTTCGTCTACTGGTTTTGATAGTCCCATCACTATGGTCTAACCAACCTCTTTTGAAGCATTCTCCAAGCGTTTCT